ACTTGCTTTCTGTATGTTCTTGATACAAAATGATGTTTTTTCTGTATATTTGTACCAATTAAAGAACTTAAAATGGTATACTGTGTACACTTATACAGGGAACAGGGGATAGCCATTTACTTTTTACTTTTTACTTTTATCCTCTTCGCCACTGATCGGCTTGTTAGCCGCTTGGGCGATCGGTCACGTCTCTTTTCATTTATATTCTTCACCAAAAGATCGGCTCGCTAGCCGCCCGGGCGATCGGTCACGTCTCTGTCACGCACTGTTGGCAAATACTGGGCATGCACCGGCTCCTGAATGTACCTGAACCCGCTCCAGTGTTGGTCAAGTCTTCTCTTGAAAGAGCTCACACTCGGTGCCGTCACAACACTCTCTGGTAGATTGTTCCAAGAGTTTACAACCCTCACTCCGAAAAAGTTTGCCCTCACGGTTTTCTGGACTTGCGGCTTCTTCGATCTTGAGCTGTGACCCCTTGTGGGGCGAGCGTCCGCCAGCTCCAAGTAAGGACACTCAACTGAGTAGTGCCCCCTGAGATGCTTATACACCTCAACTAGGTGTTCATCACAAAAATATCCCAAGACATACTCCCTTATCCTTACAGCAAATTCTTTGAAATTATATTAATAAAATTTCAATACAGGCAGAGCACATACAGGCACTTCAATTTACAAAAGGGCTATGTTCCTAAAAACCACGTAATCAACCAAATAATCACAAAAGCAATTGTATTTATCCACTGATTACCATTATAAATTGGGAGTTGGGATATACAGCAGCCTTAGGTTATTTTGCAAGATAGGGACTGAGAGCATTCACAAAACAAAAACAAAAAATGCATGTATGTAATTCAATACAAAAAAGAGCAACAAAGCTTAAGGGGTTTATTTACCTACTACAAGTAAAATTAACCAAGCTATGTACAGTGCTCTGGTACACCTTGGAAAAAAAAAGGCATACTAATACAGTATATCACAGCCATGTCACCTCCAACTGACCCAGTGACCCACAAAATCGGTGGAAATATACTGAATGACTGTTATCATGCTAACTGGCAACTTGAAGAAATTTTTTGATAGAAGCTAAGTGCATTGTTTTTTCATGGAGAGAGAGAGAAAAAAAAGAAAAAAGGAAAGGAATCAATATTCCTTAACATAAATTTGAAAATTTTTATGAGGATGAAACTAAACCTCTCCCAGAAGTAAACATTGTATACTGTACTGCATTGTAGCGCATGGCTGTGCCCCTCATACACCATCTGTGAGGGAACTACTACATCATCAGGCCCCTCGTAACACCATCTGTGAGGGAATTACTACACCACGTCAAGCCCCTCATAACACCACCTGTGAGGGAACTAGTACAGTATTCCACGTGATGCCCCTCATAACGCCATCTGTGAGGGAGTTACTACACTATGTATCTGCTGTTCAACACCTCAGCTCACATGATCTACATGTGTAAACATTAATCTGTATGTTCTCTGTATGTTCCTTCACCTTTCTCTAATGAAGGCTTTTGTTAAACCACCAATGTATGTAATAAGTCATTTATGTCCAATGTATATTTTCAGCCTTCGGGCTGCAAACTTTTTCAATAAACCGTTTATCATTATTATTATTATTATTATTTATGTTTGGTATGACATCAACATAGTCAATACCCACCACAGAGTATAGATAATAAAAATACAGCCTATATAATAATTAATTATCATGGAACAATAACATAATCAAGCTTCGTTCATTAATATATAGGTATTGTTTTATTACTTACAATAGGCTAAATGTTACATAAGTGACTAACAGTACAGTAAAGTACAGTACTGTATACTGGAGAAATGGTAATAACTTAGATAAGTATGAAATAAAAAATATAATTAAAAAGTTGTGAAATAACCCGAGGCATATAAAAAATGAAAATCTTCACCACATATTAAGTGACACTGTTCATGATGATAAAAATTGGAATTGCAGCATACACAGGCCACACATTAATGAATAAAACTGTAATATGTTTAACCCTTTCGCTGCATTTCACGCACTTGCTATTTTATTCTGGCTACCACCAGACGATTTTATTCAGTTTAGGGTAACCTCCCGCAACCAAAGGGTTAATAAACACCACAGTTGACAGGCATAGTCATAAAACTTTATCAATGGCCATTGTATTTTTACCAGCCTCAATGTGACTTATCACCTCCAACTTGACATCTAAAGTGATGACTTTGTGGGCCCTCTTACCACTAGGAGTATTGCTGCTGCTCATTTAACTTTCTGGTTGCTTTCCTGACATCTCTAAACAAGGTAAATTGCCCACAAAATGCAGAAATTGCTGGCGAGTTCAGTTGAAGTGAGGAGCTGGACTCTAAAGATTTCCTTGGCTCATAAAAAATTGTTACATGTACGGTAGATACTCAAACTTATTGGAACATATGTAACATTCCATTTCTTTAGACGTAATTGTCAATTACCGGGTATATGTTTTCCATAAAAATAAATAAATAAATAAAATGTAAAAAAAATTATATACATATACAAAAATAGATTCAAGGAGTAAAGTGCTATTGCAAATTGGGGTACAGTACTGCATACCTGTACTCCTTAACTTGTTGGTTAATATGGGTTCAATTTTTTTTTTTTTGACCTTATGACATTTTAACCCTGGGCTTCGAGAGCTATGGTTCCTTGCGGGAACATTTAAAAAGATAAAAAGTTATTATAGTCTCACAAACTGGCCCTGCAAGATATAAACAGGAAATAAATAAATGTCCTCACCACAGGTTGGCAACACCGAGTTAGGAAGAGTCAACAATGTTCGTTAAATGGCGTGTGTGTGTGTGAAAGAGTAGTAATGAGGTAAACACACTAATTTGAAGGCAGTACAGGACACTTACTTTACTATATTATTACTTTTTACACTATTAACAATCATCATTACTGTTCCAGTAATTGATCACAATACATTACTATACTGTACAGTACTTGTGCTTGGGGGTTGGTGGGTAGAAACACATGGTGAAGTGAGTTAAGTCCAGGGGCAAAATTCCTACACCACTAGAGCTGAGAAGAGACTGGGCAGCTCTCATGTGTGACTGAGTGAAAGATAAATAACTACTTGGCAACATAATCTAGCCAGGCCCGCCATTTTTATTCAAATAGGCCTGCGAAAGATCAAAACGTCATGTGACGTGACTTGAAGCTCGACAGACACACGTCATAGGAAGCGACCCGAAGCCTAAGGGTTAAATACTGTACCTGTACTGTAATTTTCAAACACTACTTCACCAACAGTGCTTGTGCAGTATAAAAGCGTCTAAGACCAATCATTATACCAAACAAATATAATCCTTAATACAGGGTGGACCTCAATAATCTGGGAAGCTTGGGACCAGACCAGTTCCGGATTAGCGAAAATTCTGTACCATCGAAGCCGAGGTTGAAAAGGCAAAGTATTGCATAAAATGTACTATTACTGTCTAATTTCTTCAGTATAGACATCTTTTCTAAAATATAATTTTTTTTACAGGGAATAGCCCACCTGGACACAGGTTGTTGACCCACAACAGGGCCTAGGGGCAAAAAAAAATAAGAGGACCGTACGGTAAAAGTAAATTAAAAATAGAAAAGAAAAAGATTATATTAATCTACATCATGAAGATGCTGGAAAACCAGCTTTTCAAAGTGAGACAGATTGTATGAGTATGGAAACACAGAAGAAGTCAGAGCATTCCACAGTTTGGCTGTGTGAGGAAAGAAGGATGTACGATAATGGGTTATTCCAGTGTGACCGATATCCACAGAGAAACAGTGAGCACCGCGGGCAAGACGAGTGTTACGAGCCCGCGGCCTTATGTTTCGTTGCATTACAACCATTTCCACTACTTGCTGGTCTCTTAGAAGGCATACTTAGGTGTAAATTATAATTATTTAAAGGTAAAGTAGTGGTAACAGCCACGAGAAGTGAGCTATGACACCGTCCCAAACCATTGAAGCTGCCAGACTATCAGGTCCTGAATTAGCAGGGTCCAACCTGTACTGACTAATTTTACTTTTATCCTCTTCGCCACTGATCGGCTGTTGGCCGCTTGGGCAGTCAGTGCCATCTCTGTTAAGCACTGTTGGCAAGTATTGAGCATGAACGAGCTCCTGAATGTATCTGAACCTGCTCCAGTGTTGGTCAAGTCTGATCTTGAAGAAGCTCACACTCAGTGTTGTCACAACACTCCGAAAAAGTTTGCCCTCACAGTTTTCTGGACTTGTGGCTTCTTCAAACTTGACCTGTGACCCCTTGTGGGGCAAGCATCCACCGGCTCATCTTTTGCAACACCTGAGCTGCAATGTTCTTTCAGTGTTGGCATATCCAACTACAGTACTCTTCACTTCAACAATATTTTGTTGTTCTTTCCCACCATCTTGGATTCTGTTTAACCCTTAAACTGTGAACATAAAATAACACAAGAAAAAATTTCTTAAAACATAAAATATTCATACAAAATTAAAGATTTCCTGTGGTGGAGTGTTTAAGTGAGCACATAGGTACAAGAGACTAGGAGGGAAGAGATAAACTGGGGGATCACTATGGAGGATGGCAACAAAAATGTATCTTCCATGCCTAAATGTTGCATGGGTGGGGTAAGTGGTCTTTTGGGAAACATGATTCTCTTTATGAATTCTAATCTTGGCACACAATATTAAAACAGTGAATAAAAAAACTTGTCATCATATGATGCACATCACAGTTTAAGGGTTAAAAAAAATCTCTTCTTAGTCTCCATTTTTCTTCCTTCATCATGCTTCCATTTTTCTTCAACATATTTATATACAGTATTGTACATAAAATAATGACAATCATATAACCTTTTAAATTCTCAGACCAAATCCTTGGGCTATAATAGATTTAGAGATAGATAGGTTGGTACATTGAGAACTTAAGTAGTTTCTTTGTGTTGTTACCCTTCAACTTAATGAATGATGCCTAAAGAAAAAATAGTTCCTTACCTCACGACGAGGACAAGAGTTTGAGCGTGGCCGTATTCTTGTTGGTGCATGAAAAGTAAAGGAGCGGGAGCCAATGGTAAGAGTGTCGCCATCTCGAAGACGTCTCGCCCCACCTTCTAGAACTCTTTCACTACTCACCTCCACCTCACATCCTGTGAGGCATCTGTAGAATGAAAGCAGATACAAATGCTTAGAGATCACAGTAAAGTATTATAAACTTTACCTAACAGCTACAGTTAGTACAGTATCATAGAACAAGCAACAATCAAAATAATTTAATTGTTAATTATTGGAAAAAGTATAGATATCCTATCTTCAAGAAGGGCGATTGTCACTCCACGAAAAACTATAGACCGGTGAGCCTGACCAGCATAATATGTAAAGTACTTGAGAGTATTATCAGAGATGCCGCAATGGAACATCTACTACGAAACAACCTTGTAAAGGATTGCCAGCACAGTTATATGCCGGGGCACTCCTGCTTAACACAATTGCTCAAGGTATTGGATATTTGGACCCATATTCTGGAATGGGGTGGAAATATCGACAATACATACCTAGATTTTGCCAAGGCTTTCGACAGTGTACCCTACGAATGGCTGAAAATCAAGTTGGAAAGGTACGGGAATTCGGAGAAATGCCCTAGGGTGGATAGAAGACTTTCTACATGACCGCAAGCAGTGTGTGGTGATTAATTGCACGAAATCATCATCTGTACCTGTCACAAGCAGGGTACCACAGGGCAGTGTCTTGGGCCCGCTGTTGTTTGTTTGTTTGTTTCATAAATGACATGCCTGACGTTGTACACTCCTCCATACAAATGTTTGCCGATGATGCCAAGTTATTTCGGCAAATCAAGAACCATGCGGACTGTGAAGAGCTGCAGAAGGATCTCTGTGAGCTCCAAGAATGATCTTAGAAATGGCTGCTGAGATTCAATGTCACGAAGTGCAAGAGGATGCACCTGGGACGTACCAACGGTAAGGAGGTGTATCGTATGTCCAAATTGGATGAAGAAACTGCATTATTTGAAACTGAACGTGAGAAGGACCTAGGTGTGTATGTTGACAATGAGCTAAAGTTCTCGGGTCATTGCGAGAAGAAGGTAAATCAGGCAAATAAATTATTGGGTCTTATAAGAAGATCTTTCAGATATCTAGACGGTCTATCCCTCGTAACGATTTTCAAGGGTGAAGTGCTTCCCCATCTGGAGTACTGTCACCCCGTCTGGTCCCCAAGATATGCTAGGGACTGTCAGTTGGTTGAAAATGTTCAAAGGAGGGCCACCAGACTGGTGCCTGCACTTCGGCACCTCAACTACCCTGAGAGAATGGAGCGCCTGAACTTGCCTAGCATATACTACAGACGGGCAAGGGGGGACCTAGTTGAGGTGTATAAGCATCTCAGAGGGGCACTACTCACTTGAGTGTCCTTACTTGGAGCTGGCGGACACTCGCCCCATAAGGGATCACAGTTCAAGATTGAAAAAGCCGCAGGTCCAGAAAACTGTGAGGGCAAACTTTTTCGGAGTGAGAGTTGTGAACTCTCGGTACAATCTACCGGAAAGTATTGTGACGGCACCGAGTGTGAGCTCTTTCGAGACCAGACTTGACCAACACTGGAGCAGGTTCAGGTTCATTCAGGAGCCAGTGCATGCCCAATACTTGCCAACAGTGTATAACAGAGACGTGACCGATCACCCAAGCAGCTAACAAGCCGATCAGTGGTGAAAAGGATAAAAGTAAAAAGCAAAAGTAACACAGATTACATTTCTAAATACTGTATATATATTTTGACTAATCCACTGAAATAATCTTTACCATGTTACTATAGAATCAGTTATTTATATGAAGCTGAAAAAAAGAAATGTAAAAGAATGGCAGAGAGATAATGTAATGGGCAATTTCTGGAACTTTCAAGAACATATTTCCATTACCCGGAAAATTCCGGGGATGAGGGATTTTTTTATGACTTTGAGAGAGTTTTGTCTTGTCACCCGGAAATCTCTCATTCCTGGAAGTGCTCTGTACCCAGTTGTTCCTGCTAACGGAGATATGACATTTGATATGAGAAGTAAAGCGCCATACGGTATAACTAAATAGATAGTAGCTGGTGTTGATTAAAAAAATATATATCTGATTGCTACTGTATATTTAGTGAGACATATTGCACTCTGTGTTGGAAGAATAATTTCATGAGAACATTTTCAGCAAGACAAATTAAATGCATTTTGTGTGATGGAATAAGAAAAGCATTTTTTTGGTCTTCTCAAGATATTTCATTAAAGTAGCAATGGTTAGACATGTAACTGTATATGCAATATCTCCTACTGATACAGCAAGTGACAGCTAAATACATTGCTACTTCATAAAGAATATAATATATATATATATATATATATATATATATATATATATATATATATATATATATATATATATATATATATATATATATATATATATATATATATATATATATATATATATATATATATATATATATATATATATATATATATATATATATATGTGTGAATATAATACACACCTGAGAGTGACAGCACCACGAGCATGGATCAGACTACAGTGAGATGAAGACACACCTGAACCAACAACATATATATCTGCATTGTCCCCACAGCCAACAACAGAGGCACCATTCTGAGGAGAGAGAAGGACTTATATTGTATAATATACTATACTAACCTTACTGTATCTATGTTTTCTACAAACTGCAATACTGTACACTTAATCAAAAAGCACATGCCAATTTAACTAATTATTTTTGTTCCTCATGTTCTTTTCAAGAATATTGTAAATTCTGACAAAATGCTTGAAGATTTAGTTATTTCTTATAAAAATGTTGCTTAGGAGTGTTTGAGAATGTCTGATTTTAGTCTTTTCTCATATTTTTGTTGTCAGATTGATGAGTGATACCATTATTTCTTACTTCTTTTTTAATACCACAAATGCAGAATACAATACACCATGTTCCATAAATATCTAAAGTAGGTTTTTACAGAAAATTTACTTTTACTTTGCACCATCTTTATTTTACACAAATGCACACAAAAGTTTCTTACCTGAATATGATATATGATAATGCTGGAAGAATGAGTGTCATCAAGGGTGTTGAGCAAATAAGGCAACTCTGTTTCAACAATAATATCGCGTGGGCCACACGAACTCTGAACGGCTTCTGTACTACTAATTGATGAAGTCGAACGGTTCAAGCCATGTTTGATACTTGAGCTGCGACCAACAGGAGCACTTTTTCTTCTAACTCTCTTGTGGTCTTTTGATTGTTCTTTATGTAGGTGCTCAATCCAATCTCTTGTAAGATCTGAGGTAGATGCATGGGAGATGATGTCCAGTAAAGTTGTTTTGCTTGTTCCAAGTGGCTTCATAATTGATGGCTGAAGGAAAATCCAATTGATTCAGGTTACAGTGGAGTATAATGTACAGCATCACATACTTAAAGATCTTCATGAGAAAAGCACATTAATCAATTCAGCTCTTCAGGTTACATAACAAATATGAGTAGACTAAACTGTATATCCATTAATTCATTATCTACTTCAGACAGTTGCATGGGAAAATACATATGACAAGAGTAACACATAATGACTCAGCTGACACTATGGTCTATAATCAAGCAAAGTTTTCAATGCATCTTGTAAGGGAGAATGTGGATCAATGGTAATCTGATGATGGTGGTTCCCACATACCCTGTATCACAGTGTGCAGGTTATAATTAAAAGGAAAGATGGTTGTAGGGAAAGCAATCTACATTCATAGAGTGAGTAATGAAGAATGAGAAGGAAGCTGATGGTCAGATGTACAGTACTGTATTTCAGTAGTGATGTTGACAAACAGTGAAATGTCAAGTAACTGTTTATTAAAATAAATGATGGATTAGAGTTCCATTTTTATCATAACACAAAGTTTTATTCTTTTGAGAGTACTGAGGTTCGTTACCATTAAGTGTTCTAACTCGGACATCAACACAAACTAGTCTAAATACTTTGTATGATAAATGCAACTTCAAAAATTATCAATTAGATTACAGTAATCTGCCTCCTCAATAAATTCACTGCATAATAACTGGCAACATAGTACTCCAGATATTTCGGGGATTTTTATTTCATGGTCCTCTATTATTCATGGATGACACCCTCGATGTACCCAAAAATGTCTGCAGGTTTTTTAAAGTTGCCAGCATTTTCGCGGCTAGGACAGGGAGCCATTCGTTCTAGAGACAGAAATTTCCTTTACCTGTATTGTATATACAAGTATGTGTGTGTGTCTGTGTGTGTGTGTGTGTAGACACACACACACAAAACACTTATAAATAAATAATAAAGAGAAAATCCTCTCACAAATAATCAGAAACAAATTTATTAAAAATGTGAGTCTACCCTCAATTCTACTCCATGCTTTATTAATAACAAAGCGCAGAGTAGCATTGAGGGTAGACTGTCACATTTTTAATAAATTTGATTCTGACAATTTGTGAGAGGATTTTCCCATTATCATTTATTTGTATGTATTTTGAGTGTGTGTGTGTGTGTCTACACACACACACTCACACGTATATACAATACAGGTAAAAGAAATAATTGTCCTAAGAGCAAACACATACATAAAGGGAATATACATTTCTTTGTACACAATGCTCTATTTACTTATGCTACTGACATTCATTCAGGAAGAAGGAATGAGTCCTATTATTTGAAGATCTTAAAGGAAACTGTTTGGTACTAAAGCAAAATGGGGAAAGCAATTCTACAACATACATTCAGAGATCTGTCTTGGGACTTGAAGAAATTACTAAGGCACTGGTAATAGAATGTGAACAACATAGCACACTCAAGAAATAAGACAACTGAATACACATTTCATGAGGAAGCTGGCCCAAAATATTAAAAGAAGATCCTAAGTCCACGTTTGAGTATACTGGGAGCAGATTGAGGGCGAAAGATATTTTATGTCCTCTTAAGGATGAAAACAACTTGGGTTTGGTGGATAAAAATCAGACTGCAGATTCTTTATATGAATACTACAATACTTTAACTCTCTAATTAAGCTATTAATACTACTGTAAGAAAGAGCTAATGACAGTATGCATTTACAAAAGTGACCTGTTTTGATAATTTCATACCTTGGCATCACACAATAATCTTCTTAGAGCAGCTACTTCTCTCTTTAGGCTCCTAATGGTGGCTGTTCCAGTATCAAGGTTCACCACAGGCATGTTGACAATGCAACGTGCACGGGTGGCATACCGAAGTGTGGAAACACTCTCGGCAAAACTAGTACTGGAGGGGGATACAGCTGAAAGGTAAAGAAATATTATAATGTTGATGACGACACCACTACACCGCTGTTATTTAAATAAACTATAAAAATTTAACTTCATAAGCAGAATTTATTCCCAATATAATTCTTAAGAGGGAAGATTTTACATAAACTGTACAGTGTTAGAGCTATTTGCATCACTTTTTAGAATAAGATCCATTATTAATTTTCTTCATTCTTGTTTAATATGTAAAATGAAGATAACATTTTTAAACAAACATGGGAGTATCACACAAAGGCAATAATTAAAAGTAATTAATCAAGTCTATCAATCCCACCACTAGGCCTTCATTATCTGAAATTTGACCAACTTGTCGCTCTTAATACTTACTTGCAATCATTAAAGTTTTAGCATTGCCACCTAAAGTGTCCTTCAGTAGCCAGGTGAGGACAGAATCTCTGTAAGGTATAAATGGTAATCTTGAACTCCTCCTCTGGCTGTGTGCAGGCATTCCTTCAGTCATTGCCGTAGTAGAGTGAGAGTGGGCATAAGTGGGGCGGGAAGAGGTGCTGTTCAGGGAGAGGTTAGACCCGAGCAGAGATCCAGCTATGGTCGAGCCTATTGCCGCTCCACGTTCAGCTGCAAGATAAAGTACCCTAAGTAAGCACCAAAAGCCTTTTTACAGAATACCTAAAAAATCTAAATTTATATCCATCTTCTCTGTAATGTTTAATTCTTTATAAAACTATCAATGATTGACCAACTGGAAGAGATAACATCATCATGCTCAGAAATTGAATATAAGAATTATGCAATACATCCTGCTAAGGACACACTAATATATAAAAGCAAACTTCCCCAAATTTATGCAGTTATTTACAACATGCAGAATAAAATCTAAAGATCAATTTATGTTTTAGTTTGTTTAGATTATCCACATATCAAACTAATAAAAATTCCTGTTCAAATAAGAAGAAATTTGATCTTTCCAGAGGTAATATCAATTTACTGTAACTTACTCACTCACTCATTCACACCTTTTTTTATACACTTTAAACTAATTTTACTACAGGTACCTCTTGCTTCTCAATTCCTCCTCACCTCTCTGACTACTAATCACTCACCCTCTTTCTCTTTTCCTTTTCTCCATTTTAACCATTCTATCTATTTCCTCATCAGTGGTCCTGTACAGTCTAAGAAATTGGTATTTTCCCAGCTTTAGTCAAAGAATAATGAGACCTGGTGAATTATACTGAATGCATAACCACGACTACATCTGTTCAGTTGATACGCCTGGCTAGATATGAACTTTGAGTTGTTCAATGTAAGATGGTTTGAAATATTGTAGCGGACTTAATATTCTAGTTGTGGAATATGGACAAATACACCCTATAATGAAGGATCCTTGGAGAAAGTAAGTAATTATATAAATCAATGGCATAACTGGCTACTCCAGGCCTGCCAACAGTTCACAAGGTACACTGCCTGGTATGTGCATCAGGTGGTTCAACTTTTCCGCAATGTATTAGCCAAAATTTGGGAGCACATTACAGTACTGCAGTTGTTTCTTAAACTGTTCATATCATCACAATATTTCATACTCTTACTTTGTCACTCACATCTTTGCAATACTGTACAACAATGTCCATCTGACCATTACTTATAGCTGTATCTCCCTTTTGGTTGTATCATGTCTCTCTAAAGACTGTGCCATACGTCCTCTCTTGACTATACAGTTTTCACCTTAACAGGTTTAGTTCCTGATTAACTGATCAGAAATTTAAATACTGCTTGAGGCTTACAAGCAATCCAACTCTTCAAGAGACCTATGGCTCCCTTTCCCACAGTGTAAGAAATCTTATGAAGAATAGTAACACCTGCTTATTTCAACTGATGATTATATACCCTAATGCTAGCTTAACCTAATCTACCCCCTCCATTTGGCATTAGGTTGTCTAATCATTAGATGAAATAAAACTGGGGATGGAGGAGAAATTTTCATAAAATTTGTGTAAGTTAACCTACTCAAAAAGAAACCTTACAACCCCTATAGCTTTACAATTTTCCTCTTTCACAATACTTGTCAAGAATTGAGCAACTTCATTCTCTCTAATCTATATTGTGTGCATGATTACTTGTGTATCTGTTTGCTGTCTACAACTACAGTTTTGAAGACAGAGTTGAAATTTGACTGGGATACGGACATGTACAATACTGTACACCAGAAGTTCCTGAATTTTGAATTTTGGGGGGTTGACCCCACAGAATCCAAACCCCACCCACAAATGCAAAATCCCTTAATAAAAGCATGTCTCACATGGATATACTATAGGACTCCTAAAACATCATCCCTTATTTTTTCACACCACTGAGTATAATAAAATGATCTACAGTTCTGGCAGTGATGGAAATATCAATGAGTTCTTTTTGTGTTTTTAAAATATTTTTTTTTAGCTATATTTATTTTTAGTTTCCCTTAATGTTTCAAACATTGAAATATTGAGTCTGCCCAACACATAACACTTAAGGTGAAACCAATTTAGCTATTATGCTGTTATTTGTTAATATGACTCTAGTGCTTTATTTTCTATATTTCTTGTCATTCAAATACCTGTACTGTAAATTTAAACTTTATACAGCAAGTATTTATTGAATACTGCAGTAAACTTTAAATCCGCATGATGTAAATTTCCTTTCTTGGAATCATTTTCATACACCTCATGTGAACCTTTATACTGTAATCTAGCAATGATTAATTATAAAAACCTATATATGTTACCTGTATACCTGCATTCAATTAACTTTGTGTGCTGTACTTTATTACACCAAGCTTAAACATTCTGATAATTATTCCTTGAAAAAAAAAAAAATAATAAAATTTGGTTCAAACAATCTTAAGGAAACTACCTAAGCGTAAAAAACTACAACTTATTCCAATAAGAATTCTATTCAATAGAACACTAATAACACAAGCAGAGAATGGCTGAACATGCAGATTGGGAAATCACATAACCTACCACAACAGATACAGCCTCGGGCCTTGTGGACAGCTGCACAATGATGGTAAGACAATGTGAGTACTAAACCAACCTCCTACAGTACTTACATTTTTCCCATTCTAAACAATGTACAGTACTCATCATAACAAAAACAAGACATAAATACATTCAAGGTTGTTAGTGCATGGAAAAAAATGAGAGATGGGAGGATTAAAAAAAAAAAAAGTACTATACAGTACAGAACTGTATTAGCTATTCATACAGGTAAGGCATCCCCAATACCGTTGGACTATTTGTCTGCGAGAGATGTATGTTGAAGCTATTTCCTGTAAATGTTAATGGCATTCAAGAAATTTTTTGATAGATACCGGTACATTTCCTGAGATACAATTCAAGTGACTAGACCAATAAATCATCATCCTCATATTCATTGGATAATCCAGAGTAATTCTCAGATGATCATCATACTGTACTTGGTTCACTGTGCAGTACACCCTTATTTTACACAAATTCTATTTCAGTGGATTTTGTGGAATACAATACAGTACATGACATTCTTTTACCAGTACAGTTTATATTTTTTTTAAACATATCATCATTCAATATACAGTAATATAACTCGCAATACTATCAATTGCAGTACAATGTACATACAAAAATTATTTGCCCCCCAAAATATAAAAATACTTAATCTGTTTTAAGTTTTGTGAAGTGTAACAAAACAGACAGTATAAAAGCTGAGTCAGTACAGCATCCATTTACATTTATTAGTCCTGTAACTGCCATTAGTATGTACATTCCCGCACAATAATCTTTAGACTCTCGTGTGCAGACAGTGACACCTGACATTTATTGTTGTTTACTACACATAGTTGTAAAATTCTGTGAATGAATCTGGGGTTTAATGACTGAGCAGTTCCTGCAATATACAGTACATCAAACTCATATGTTCCTTATCACTTACAGGAAATCCTCAACACACTATTTGTCAAGCATCAGTTGGACTTTCTATACTGTACATGTTTATGACATTTTCTTGAATTGTATATTAATATGTTCTATATGTATAAATTTCAGCTAGAGAGAGAACAACAGGCTTGCCAATGTCAGTCATTATGACTACCCCAGCATGTGGGATTTTTTATATTTTTTTGTCAACAAAATTTTATACATGTATTAATGTCTTTGACATTTCCATTTTTAATGCTCCTCTTCAAAATTATTCTCTACTTAATCAATCTTTTACAATCCCTTGGTATGTAAACCATATACTGCATACAGTACCTGTACAGTACAGTACAGTACAGTGAAATTAATTTGTTGTATACGGGTTTGGCAATGAGTGAATGAGGTGCCCCCTCTCCCTTACCCCCACTACTACACCAATGGCTCGTCTACCACAACATTATTACAACCACATCCATATCCTGATGCCTTAACAAAGAGTAGGAATGCATCTCCTCATATGTGAAACAAATTATTACAAACAGTGCGTTTGCTAACTACCAATGCAAATTCACGTTACACACACACACACACAACAACTCTACTTTTCACTTTCACTTTTATCCTCGTCACCACTGATTGGCTCGTTAGCAGTTTGAGCGGCTGGTCACGTCTCTGTTAAGCATTGTTGGCATGTGCTGGCTCCAGAATATATCTGTACCTGCTCCAGTGCTGATAAAGTCTGGTCTTGAAAGTACTCACACTCAGTGCTGTCACAACACTCTCTGGAAGATTGTTCCAAGAGTTTACAATCTGCCAGAGAGTGTTCTGATGGCACTGTACATTACAGTACACGATTTCTAGTTTTCTAAGTGTTTTAGTATTTTATTTAAGATCTTGTTAGTCGTTGATGTTAGATTTTTTTTTTTTTTTTAGGATTTCCTTTAAGTGATAGATTAGGAGCAAGAGTTTGGTGTGTGTGTTGCAGGAACTGCTCAGCCACTAAATCTCAGATTCATTCACAAAATTTTACAATTATTTGTAGTAAACACAATGATAAATGTCAGGTGTCGCTATCTCCTCACGGGTGTCCTAAGCTTATTATGCGGACCTGTACATTACAGTACAGTAATTTGTGTATTTATTTATGATACAGTACAGTAATTTAATTTATCACAAGAAATATAAAAGTATAAAATCTTTATAGTACTGTATTTCCTTACAGAAAAATAGATTTGGGGGAATTGTACCATGCCTTTGATAACCATGAAAGTAACAAGTTATTTCTCATAAAAAGTTCAGCTTTATTCTTGCAAATTTAACAGATACAGCATTAGGTTTTCCAAGTACTGTACTGTATGTAACTCTTATAAAACAGAGGGCATACTGCACAGTAGGCACTGTACAATACTTTATTTTACTGGTCCGAACATATGCATGGTGATTGAGAGTGAGAACCATGCTTACTTTTCTCTTAATTTATGAACAGAACTGCTTAATCACAAACAAATATTCCCATTACCACTGGGATACAGGATAGTACAAATAGTCTCTGGCAAATATGAAAGCAAGATGATCGATCTACAGGAACCAGTTGCTGGCAAGGGCTAATAAGGAGTCAACATTTGGTCAGAAAATGAAAGAAACAAGAGCTTACATGCTGAGTTCTATTTTCAGTTTCATGTTAAATGTACAGGGACATACCATAGAGATCAGTCTCCTTGTGTCCCCACCATGTGGTACAGAAATGCAGTACAAGTTAAAGATGATAATTAGCTTCTTCATAAATATAGGGGGATATATATAATGAAGTGTCCACATGAACAAGCAGTCATGATTAACACACATTATTGCTATACTAGTGTTATCATCTACATGTGGGTATCGTAAGCATAAATGACTGAAAGTAGATAGTGTAAGTTAACTATTGACAACCAATCAAGTCAGTTTTCCATAACAAATAAATTTGTCCTAAGATAAGGACAGATTTATGAAATGGCCTTTAAATGAAAACTTAGTCAGCAAAAAATTCCAGCACCTAATCTATATACTCTATGTTCAATATACTGTACACCTGGAATATGTCTGAAAAAATATGCAAGGCATATAATATTTTGTGATAAGACCCTGAAAGCAATCAAGGTCATGGGTAAATCAGGGAAGGTTAAATGTTCAGGGAAAAGAAGAACTAAACAGTACAGTACTGTACTTAAACAAGAGCATTCAAAATTTTAAGTTAATACTGTAATTTGAGACAATGTCAAGATATATCATCTGAGTGCTCAGATACCTAGGATATGCAGAAAGTTCATTTCATACAAGTTTACAGCTACAGACAATACAGCTCACTGAAGAATGACTGAGCACATGTGTTTCAGATCTGAAGTAAATTAGATAAGGCACATCAAAGTATTTCAAAACATATAGTTTTCAATCTTCTAAAAGAGGAAAATGTCTCCATAACCAATACAGCACACTGCATGATGCTATCGACTGATGAAATATGTTTGACATGTTGTTTAGATAAGGTATCATCCAGAAGTAATGAATCTTTATTAAAAGGAGAAAATGAAAAGTTCCTAAAACCTCCAATGAGAAATGTCATTACAATACTTAAAACTATCAGCATATTTCATGATGTCTGCTTGTTGATATACTGGTACTGTATTACCGAAGAACAACATCTTACCCAGAATTGGTGACAATTTAAAACTAAATTAGTGCCTAAATTGTCACATACAAAAAACACACCACACCAACATACTACAGTACATGATTCCCTCACAAACGTAAGGCGTATCCATTTAAGTGCTCTTGTGGTGTCGAATAAAAATGAGGTGAAAAAATAAACAAGACAACACCATATCAGACGATACCTGTTAGAGAACAACTATAATGTACTGTATTAACATTGTTTCACAACAAAAGCTTATCACCAACTGTGCACTAAAACTAATGAAATTCAAGAAACTGTACCCAAGGCCTAAGGCAACAGCTTGGAGCGAATTTCGTAAAGAGTCTTAAATTTGTTCTTTCCGTATATGTTTAGAGTTTACTAAACTCTTTAAAAAAGTTATTGTCTTAAATTATAATTAGTAAATGAGTTACACAATATGAAAAAAAACACAAAAACATGCAGCCTGTACCAAAATTAATACTGTAGTTAGTATTTGTTATTCCACAGAACAGTCAAACATATTACCTAATGCAGATATGACATTGCCAAGTGTCACAAGGGAACGATTAATGCTGGCACCCTCAGTTAGGCGTGCCTTGTCCACTTCTTCATTGGCTCGTTCACTGTTAGGAACACACACACACAAAATAAATAAAATCAGCAAAAGTAATATTATAAGTTCTAAACTGTACAAATCCTTTTTTCATATGTAGTTTGCAGTTACTGTACTAGATAATTTTGTACTTACAGTATAGGGTATCATAAAATGATGCATTGTATATCAAATAGATTCATATATAGTTAAAGCATAGAAAAATTTTCAGTCAAATACAGTATACATGTACTTCAAAATTATAGTAATTATTACTGCAAATAATCACATTAACATTCATAAATATCTGAGATATGATTAAAAAACTGGAGCGGTTTACCTCCCAGCTAGATCAACCAAGGTGAGAGTAGAACGAGTGTGTGCTGCTGGCTGAGTCACATCCAAGGTCAACAAGGCATGTGACCTGGAGGAGTGTGCATGAGAGGCTGTAGAGGCTACACTACGACTTGCCCGCCCACGCTCTAGTAATGACCACGCAACACCCGTATCAGTTACCGGGTGGCGCGTCACACCTGAAAAACAACAATTAATACACATATAATTATTTACAAGGCCAAAAAATGGTTTAACTATGGAGAAGTATTGTGTCTTCTTCTGTGTAATTATTATTAAAACCAAGTACAGTACTAAGTATTGTAATACTGTAGTAGTATTAAGGAACGATTAACTGGAACAGCACAGAAATTATGGAATTACTGTTCTACATTTCTGTCTGGCAGCGCATGAAAAAATTATTCCTGATACAAAAATTCCAAATTCCAACAGCACTAAACTATGACTGACACACCAGAAGGAATTTTACTTTTAATACATAATACTATAAGCCTCTATTTTTTTCCTCTTTACTTTACATTCCATTTAAACTCTGACTCTTAAGTCTAGTGAGGACCTACATGGCTCTAAAACCCTAAGCTTGAGACAGGGTAGACCCTTTTCACTAACACTGAATCTACAGATATGCAAAACTTTCACAACAATATTGACAAATGAGGCCCTCCAAGTGAAGAAAAGACAAAAGACTTAAGATGCATTTATCATGGCATTACAGTACAGGTATTGTACTTGTTTCAAAGTTGAGAAAATTCAAATACCGGTAAGCTTTCTGGTCATCCTCCTCATAAATGTATACCGGTATCCAAAATCATGACTTAAAATATTACAGACACCAAAATGTCACAAGGACTATCTATATTGTAGAGTATGTACTGAGATTTTAAGCAAAATTATATTTTACAGCACAAACTACAAGGCTAACCTCTTGGTGTTCGTCTAATAAAAAAAAAAATAATAATCTCAAGATTGAAATGAATGTATGTATCTACAGGTACAGAAGTACATCAATAACAACACAAAAAAGTGAAAAATTGCAATTAAAAAAATCACAGGGGCTGAGTAATTAGTTAAAAAAGTAGTTGAATTTCCTCATGAATCATTAGAACCAGTAATTACCAAAACTTTCACTTTTTCACCACAGATCCTTAAAAAGAATCTCAAGAACTATCTCAAATTGTACTAAAGTTTTGAGTAAATTTAATTTTACGCTCCTTTTTTTTCTCTCATGACTGGAATTGAATGTCTATCTACTTTAGTACTTCGAGAATAGCACAAAAACACCAAAAATTGCTTATGAAAAATCACAGGAGCGAAGTAATTAGTGTTGTAAATCTAACTGAATTTCCCAAGTCATTAGGGCGAGTACTGTAATTACCCAAATTTAAACTCCCTTTACCACAGATCCTTAATCAGAATGTTGAGCACAACCTATACAGAATTGTAAAACAGCATAATAATTAAATTGATAACAATACTTGATTTCCTATACAAATGTACTGTATTTAACTGTACGTACTGTACACTTTCTAAGTCTTACCATCAACGTAGGGGCCTGTGTGAGGATGTTCCCTGACACGCAAAGTCTTTCCTGGGTCACAATCTGTCAGCAGGTCACGAACACGCTCATTGTAGATCTCAACCAGGCTGCAAAAAGTTCCATGTACATAGATCTTAATTTTAATTCTCTTTATTATATCGAGCCTTAATTTTCATATATGCAACTTAAATATTTAATCCCAATAATAACTTGGGCGTGATTATTTATCTCCAATTAAAATTGCACGTATAATATATTGCATCATATTTTGACATTACCACTAGAAAACAAAATATCAGCAGCTAAGAATAAAAATGCTTCACACACATGCACCAATATTTTTGTGTAAAGAGCACACAGCAAAGAACCGGCACTCTGCGGAAGACAAACCTGAGGGAGAGAGTGAAGTCCTGAGCACACAGGTCATCAGGGCTGTACCTCTCCTGCAGGCGAGTGAGCAATCCCTGGCACATCCTTGGTGCTAACCCGGGCGCCTCCTGGAGGTAAAGACGTCATGTAATAAAGCTGCTTAATTAAGAAGTCAGTTCTGTTAATCTAATAAAGTAAAACAGCATTGTAATTATTTACCAGAAGGAAAACTAAAACCTGTTACTCCATATTTACTATACCCTGTACTGTATACAGTTATGTAGTATAAGCATTGTGTTTGTTGTTGTTTTAATATATTTAGGTGCTTTAACTATCAAGGTCTCTAAGAATATTTATCATAATTTTAAATACAATAATTGCTTTCTAGTGTAAAAACTAAGATATGTAAAAGATGTTGAATCAAAATGGTGGAATGTGAGGAAATCTGGCTGGTGAGTTTAAGTGCAATATTGTCCAGTGTTGGATTTGTCCTATTACTACTACTACAGTCACACAGACATCATACATCATTATATATATATATATATATATATATATATATATATATATATATATATATATATATATATATATATATATATATATATATATATATATATATATATATATATATATATATATATATATATATATATATAGCCGTAATATACACATTAAATATATCATAAATAAATTTGCTGTGCTAAGACTACGCACAACAAAAAAAGAAAGAAAAATAAAACAAACACTAACAAAAGTACGAGAAAGAAATCACTGCATAAACGAGTGTGTGAATGTATGTAATGGAGATAATAATCCGTACACAATACAAGTTTACAGGATGTATAGTAAGTGACCTTGTGACCCAGGATGGTGTATGTCTTGCCGGAGCCTGACTGGCCGTACGCCAACACACAAGCGTTGTAACCGTACACCGTCGCCGCTTCCACTTCCCGACCCAGCTCACGATATACCTGCAACAACAAAAACAACAGCAACAGTCATTAATGCATCATGACAAAGACTCAGTGTTAATAAGAAACACAGGAATAACCACCTTTTCTTCTTCTTTTCGAGAGGTATATTTTGGGTGAATCCTTCAAACCAATTTAAATTCTAAATCCTGATTTACATTTGATTCGATGGTCAATAAAAGTTTTCAAATTGGATGTACCATGTTGTTCACAAATTTCATAAAATATACACTTCTATTCAAATCGTAAAATATTCTATATAAAAGTGTATTTTCTGGAATTTCTTGTTCTTTTGTAAGTAAGTATTTTCATATTCAAATTTGACCATGGCATATACGAACATCTTTACTCACATGGGAGTTCCAGTGCGGTGAAAAACGACAGACAAACAAAGGAAAGTTCCTTTGGATCATAATCAATTTCGCGCTGAGATAACGACAGTAGTACAGTACCTTATTTTGCCAGGGAATTTTACCCAACGACCCGATCAATATTATAATAAAATGTCGAGAACACGTGGCAGGATTTGCGAGGAGACTTGCTAGGTGGTTAACTGTGAGGGAATGTAACTTTCAACTCATTATTTAGGTTTTGACTGTCAACAATTTCTTACTCACCTTCATTTACTCACATAACACTGAAATATTGCGGAAATTGGCGTAAATCAAGTCACTGGACTCATTTTCCCGTGATAATGTAAGGTCTTGTGTCACGAGGTTGCCGCCAAAACAAGATACGATACCACAAGGCAAGAGTTCCTATCTCGGGCACCCATTGTTGTTGTTCAGCTTAGGTACTTAAGTAAGGTTAAATAGCTTCTGATAAGATTACTGCCATCATGCAAGGCCTATCTTAGCCTATGAACAAAATATGTTCCTCGCTTCTTTTTGTGCTTGGTTGAGACCGGTCAAAGTTCAAGGTCACAAGGTCATTCAGCAGTCTTTTAGTTTCTACCTACAAAACCTTTAGGTATAGTGTCAGTTTGAAGTGATCTCTCTCTCTCTCTCTCTCTCTCTCTCTCCAATACACGTTTTTACCATCATCTTCAATCCTTCCTGACAAAGGACAAGTTACACAAGTATTGGAAAACACAGATGATTGGTACGACCACCCAGGCTGTGCACGATTTCATTCATCATAATTTGTTTCACTGAAAATAATGGACTCCCTCTCCACCCTCCACCCACAACCCCACTCGTCACGACAACCTCCCTCTCACCCTAACCTCCTTCCTATTCCATCCCATCCTCATTTTCCCTGCCCTCTCCTACATTTTCTCCTCCCTAACCTTCCCCTTCTCCTCCCTCTATTTCCTTTTCCCTTCCTCTTTTATTTCCTCCCTCCCCATCTTCTTCCCCAGTCTATCCTTCTTCCTTTCTTTCGGCTTCTTTTTCCCTTTCCCTCTTCCTCTTCTTGCCATCCCTGTTTCTTCTTCTCCACTGCCACCCTCCCATTCCCCAACCCCTTCATCTACTCCCCTGTCCTACACCCCCCCCCCGCACTTTCCTCTGTTGCGGTGAGGTTAAATGTGAGGAGGAGGCGAGGAGGCCGGGGGCCACACCTCCACCAGTCTACGGACATCACCCCCCAAGGTTTACTTACATCAGCAACAACAACAACTCGTCTCTCACCAACACAATAAAACCCGACTTATGTTGTGTATTTTGTATTAATTCATATATATATATATATATAGAGCTAAACTAACCTAATTTACCCTAAATTAACTTAAACCTAATCTTAACCTAACCTAAACCTAACCAAACCGAAATTTGGTGACTCATTATGTTAGGTGATGTGGCCGCCAACTAGCGATAAACATTTCGTAAATATTATCAGGTCAGCAAGTCATTAAGTAAAGGTGAGAATTAAGCTTAATGCGTTGAGCTTGACGGTGGTAAACAAACTAACAAACAAGAAACACGTCCATAATAATGTCCATTGATTCTGAATATATATCTTGAAATATATGTTCTTGTACTGTTGTTCTCGAACGGTTAAAACAAATATGAAGTTACTAAGTATATCAGGATAGTAAAAAATATCATCATAATTTCAGAGACATTTACAGTAACATGCATCGACTTTATAAACACGAGGACAAACATTTAACACAGTCATTCTATCCTTACAGCATCATGACAACGTTGATTTAGGCTCAAGGTCGTGGTCCTACTGTGTCAAGCTTCATGTCACAAGGTCAAGGTCCTACTGTGTCAAGCTTCATGTCACAAGGTCAAGGTCCTACTGTGTCAAGCTTCATGTCATAAGGTCAAGGTCCTACTGTGTCAAGCTTCATGTCATAAGGTCAAGGTCCTACTGTGTCAAGCTTCATGTCATAAGGTCAAGGTCCTACTGTGTCAAGCTTCATGTCATAAGGTCAAGGTCCTACTGTGTCAAGCTTCATGTCATAAGGTCAAGGTCCTACTGTGTCAAGCTTCATGTCATAAGGTCAAGGTCCTACTGTGTCAGCTCTTGCAAGGTAGCACCCCGATACTGTGTGTGTGTGTACAGAGTTTGAAATATTTCCATAAGGTGTGTCAAACACAAGCTCACCAACGTCATAACTACAGCTTCAACACAAGGCTATATTCTTGCGTCACGCATTCTTTTCTTCGGGACCAAGTAAACTATTTAGTGCTTTATATTGTATTTGTTATCTATTCATATCGTCTACGTTACCAACACGCGTTGCATAATCACACGCCATATACACGCAGGTAAACAGCCACGTTTACACCTGCCTGCGAGTCCGACACGTGGAGCTCGGTGGCAGGAGGGCCACGGTACATAACATGAATGTTGCCAAATTTAACCATTGACTTACAGTAGTAACCCTGACCTTTGATGTTCTGAACTTTGTCTAGTGATGATACACATTTACGTGACGTTTAATCACATCATATTGCACAGACAGACAGACAGACACACACACATGGATACCACCATTTCTACACATCTCAGGTGAAGGTGGTGAGAAACAAACATAAAAATTTCACAAAGAATTACTCATAATAATATCGCTGTCAACACGAGTCTCACAAATGTTGTCGCCTCTTGACGACTGTGAACCTTATAATAATAATAATAATAATAATAATAATAAAAAAATCTGACAGGGTAACATGGCTGCCTCAGACCAAGAGGGAGACAGACAGACAGACAGACAGACAAGACAGGGGTCAAACGAGTCACACACACACACACACACACACACACACACACACTATTCAGAGGAAGAAAGGTCGACGGATACCCAGACATCCTAACTACAGATGCATACCATCAAGTGTCACTCATACAATAATTACACGTTTCAACAACATATACAAGTCATTCAAGACCTATGCATTAATCACTGTAAAACCAACGTGACACCTCACCAACACACACAAGTAAACACAAGACAAACAAGTTATCCCGGTATGTAATTAATAAAATAATAACATAAGACTTTAGCCTTTAGGTCGTAATGCATGACAAACATTACGGTAAAATATAAGATTATTACAACACACATGACGTAACACACAAGCAGTTACAACACACATGACGTAACACACAAGCAGTTACAACACACATGACGTAACACATAAGCAGTTACAACACACATGACGTAACACACAAGCAGTTACAACACACATAACGTAACACACAAGCAGTTACAACACACATGACGCGCTTTAACATTTACACGTAACTTTGGCGTTACAACACATGACGTAACACACAAGCTTGGTTTCTTACATAACGTAACACACAAGCAGTTACAACACACATGACACACCATACAAGCAGAATTTTAACACACATATGCACAAGCAGTTACAACACACATAACTTATAACACACAAGCAGTTACAACACATAACGTAACACACAAGCAGTTACAACACATGACGTAGCTTACACAACGGACACAACACACACTTGACGTAACACACAAGCAGTTACAACACACAAGCAGTTACAACACACATAACGTAACACACAAAGTTACAACACATGACGTAACAGCCCAGTGGGATGGACAGACAGACAGACAAACATACGAACGGTACAGGTCATGACAGTAGAAAAACAAAAACAAAAACACAGTAACACAAACTTTTCCAGCCAATGTTTCCTAAAAAAAAAAAAAAAAAAAAAAAAAAAACCCTTTGTTTATTTAATTTCCTAATATAGAAACACCAAGGCACAGAGACCCAAACCTAAACTAAGAGGAGTCGAGATCACTCTGGTAAGAACTGCGACAGATAATTCGTGGTGTTCCTTGAGGGATTTGCACAATAATCCAGTAATGCCACACGGCGATCAATACCCTCTACCCTCACCACAACACGGAAAATGCGCATTCTTAATATTTTTTTTATTTATTTTTTTTTCAGCCTCACTCTCGGCACGGAATAAATGCTATTAGTAGGAGTGTCCTTGAGGCCAACTGCGTTAACTAGGACTTATAATTGTGATTTTTTTTTTATTGTATTTCCTAGACTGTTGAAGAGTAATATTTTTGATAGGATTAAAGACACTCTACTTTTAGTCGAATTTCAGACACGTGTTGGATTTGAAGTCATGACAAGACTATTTTAGATTTCTAGACTATTTTAAACAGACCTGTGGATTTATTCATACTCAGACATCAATGAACAAACTTGTGACGCTGACATGTACGTTGAGACTTAACTGAGTTGTTTAACCAAAAAGATGTTGGCGCCGCTAAGACTTCCACACTTACAGAGCCAAGACAGTAAGATCAAAGCTTTGGAAATGTGTGTGTGTGTGTGTGTGTGTGTGAGAGAGAGAGAGAGAGAGAGAGAGAGAGAGAGAGAGAGAGAGAGAGAGAGTATGTGTGTGTATGTGTTGAGGTAATCATCATCAGGTGTTGACATGAGTACAGGTGATGTGTGAGAGAGGAGATAATACCACCTTTGACGTGTTCCACCGTCACACTCCCTCACCTTATATTACACCTAAAACTGATATCCAAATCAATCTAC